CACTTAAAATAAGAAAACTCAATTGCATTGTCTTATTTCAAGTGCATTTTATCTAATTATCTTATTTTAAGAGTACAAATACTCACTCCATTGGCAAACTCATCTCATTTATCTGCTCAAATTAAGGGTAAATACACTTAATTTAAGAAATTTTGACTCATTTGTAGATCGTTTTTCCACTGAGTCTCTTTTTTACACTGCAAAAACGATCTAAAAATGAGTAAAAATGTCTTAAATTAAGTGTATTTACCCTAATTTGAGCAGGTAAATGAGATAGTTTGCCAACTGAATGAGCATTTTTACTCTTAAAATAAGATATTTAGATAATATTCACTTGAAATAAGACAATGCAATTGTGTTTTCTAGTTTTAAGTGTAAATTGTCTTGTTCCGTTGACAAAATGTCTGCTTTACCTCCTCCATCCAAGAACAAATTTTCCAGTGTATATATTTTTAGGTCGCCTTCTTCAGCCTTCTCAACATCATATCATGCACAAGCTCCCCGCCTGCTGTTTTAACATGTTTTTGAACGTTAATGTCTTATAAAGGTTTATTTTCTATTTTTAATTACTGCTCGTTATGCAGGCAAAGGGGGAAAAAAGTTGAATATGACCGCTCTGGGCTTCCGTATTCTCCCCTTTATTGCATATTCTAAGAACCTTCCCTTCCACAGTAAAGAACTGGGTTCAGAACAATGTCTCTAGGAATAGGATGTCCTTCTTCTGGGGCTTCATATTATTGAACATAACCTTTTTATAGACAGTAATCCAGTCTACGGTGGTGGAGATATAAATCAAGAACAGAGATAGAATAACACTGGCTGCCTGTGGGGAATTGCTGGTTTGTCAGAATAACAAACATAATTCTGTTTCTGGTTCTGTAACTTTAAGTCACAGTTATATATATTCTCATTGCAGGTGTCATGGAGTAGGAGTGCTTTTAAGCTCCATCTCTGTTGAAATAATCATCATCCAGCGTTTTGCTCCCTCTAATGATGCAAAAAAACATATTTAAAAATCTGGGACGTTCTCTACCTTTGAACTGGACTGTTTCTGCTAAAGCAGCCTGTTAGTTAAGAGCTGCAAAAACTTATTTCATTGCAAGCTTTGCATAAATTCAGCTAGTTACGACTCCATTGACACCTTTGGGAAGATAAAATCAAGTCAAGTCAAGTCAGCTTTTATTGTCGCTTTCTTCATATGTGCAAGACATACAAGGGAAATGAAATTACGTTTTCTCTCTAGAAATATACAAATATACAAGAAATATACAAGACTGACATTTAGAAACTGACATAAAGTGCGGTACATGACAGGTAACAGTGATAAGATAAATAGAAAGTATAGACATTACAATAAAAGCAATAAAACAGCAGCAATAGCATGCATCCAATCAAGAGAAAATCCATATTAGTTTCACAGTTGAACTGGGAAGTAATGCTCCACGCATTTTTTTAAAACAAACATTTTAAAAGTCACAAAAGCTCCTCATCTTGACATCCCATCTGTCCTCCTTTCATAATCTTAGACACAACAGATTAAGGACACAGTTCTTCGATCTATCACGTACGACTGCTACTTCTGCTGCTGTCAGGCCTTTTACCAAAGGCTGAAAATGACACGCACTAATGGAAAAGATGATAATGCATCAAAACTAAATGGATCATCTTATCTTCACTTCCATGAAACAACATTTACTGAGTCAATCTTCCACCGGTTACACACTGATGACATTTAGCTTAGCTTCTACCAGATAAAAGGCAGTAGAAAGCTTTGCCATAGAACCATCTTCTCAGGATTTCCACGAAACGCATTTCTGATCTTTTTGATTGTTTGTTTTCCTTCTGTCCAGAATCCAATCTTGAAGGTGGATGCAAGCAGCGCTGAGACCCTCGGTTACATCAGCTACGTCGGCTCAGCGCTCTCTGCCTTCTTTGCATTCTGCAGCCTGTTCATCTATGTTCATTTTCAGTAAGTTGCTCTTTGACTTAAACCTCTAGATATAGTGGGAATGACATGTTATTTCTCTCGTTGCTCAACGTAAGTGTTCCTTTTTTGCACAATTATACGGTGGCCCTGAGGTGCAAAACAGAACACAAAAAGAGAAAACACAACGGCAAATCAGAAAACACAGCACAAAAAGAGAAAACACAACACAAAAAGAGAAAACACAAAAAGAGAAAACACAACACAAAAAGAGAAAACACAACGGCAAATCAGAAAACACAACACAAAAAGAGAAAACACAACACAAAAAGAGAAAACACAACGGCAAATCAGAAAACACAACACAAAAAGAGAAAACACAACACAAAAAG